TTTGGACAATGCTCTCAGGCACATTGCAGGGCTGTCCCATGCAGGACCAGGAGTTGGACTTCAATGATCCTAGTGGTCCTTTCCAACTCTGAATATTCTGTAATTCTATGATTTTATATTTATTCTCTTTTGGGATCATGCCTTGTAAGTGCCCTTGATGCTCCAGAGATTTCTGTGTGCCCTGTTATCAGCGTTATTAGAATCCCAGCGGAGCTTATGTGAAGTGAAAGGAAAGCAGGATGCTAGAAATCTTTTGAATTTCCTATAAGCCAGCAGGAAAACACATATACACAGTAATAGTGACACGCCTGCAAGAATTACCTGTGCGTGCATTTTGTAGTCTTGATGATAGACTGACATTTGTTCTTGAAGGTGAAGGATAGAACAGAAGTGGAAAGGCAAGATTTTGTTTACTGAACCTAATAAATTGTCAATGTTTCACATCCCCATGATTACTTTTGGTGACCTCTGGAGAGGTCATGACCCCCTCACTGAAGAGACCCTGGCTTCAAACATGACATAAACAGAGTCAAGGAAATATTGTTACTGGCTTTTCATTGCATAGAGCTTTCCCTATGAACTTTTCCCTATGAACTAGTTGTGAGTTTTTTTAATTTTGATTGATCTTTGACTGATCCTGACTCTCCTAATTATACCATGCTGTTGGGATTTTGGTGAAAGCAGGGCAAGGAATCAATCCCTTCCTTGTCCTTTCAGTCTCATTCCTCCACTTCTTCATCCCGTCTGCTCAGAATTAGTGTGATTTAATTAAATTTACTTGCATGACAACAACAAAATGAAAAAGGTATTGTCCTAAAGGTGACTTGTTTAAAATTCCTGACTAAAGAATCAGAACCGTATGGATTAAGAGAATGAGTTTGATTTGATCTTCCCAAGAGCCTGAACTCCAAATGCACTGAAGGTGGAATTCGTGCTTATTAGGCTTAGAAGTGGAGATGGAAGTTGGAAGACAGTGACTTCTTCCAGTGGGGGAAGATGACTCCTGCACTACCTGCAGATTGGCAGATGAGGTATTAGGAGCTCTCTCCAGTGAATCATAGGAGCCAAGTGAGACTGAGACACATGGTAGCACCAGGAAGAAATGAGGAGTGACAACAGAGCTTTTGCTGCAGGCAACAGGGGCTCCAGTTGCTTACTTGACCTGCTGTTGGGGGATATGTTCTTCTTTCTAGGGGGACAGGTTTGGGATATTGTGGGAAGAATGCCAAATTTTGTCTAGCCCTCAGGTAACAGCAGACCCCTTCTACTTTTTCATGTGTGCACCAGTGATAGTATCAGAGAACACCAGGAATACATACATCAAGCATGACTACTGCACTCTGGAGGAGATGATCAAGAGCACATAAGTCCAGGTGGTGTATCCTTGATCCTAAAGGGGAAGGGGGAGCTAGGGCTTGAGAAGGAGTGGACGTATCCTGAAGGTCAACAACTGGTTGTGTAGCTGGTGTCAACAGCAGGGCTTTGGTTTCTATGACCATCAGATATTTGTTGAGAAATAAGGACTGCTATGAAGAGAGAAGACCCACACAGTTAAGTCATGGAAAAGCCAACAGGCTGAGGACACCTTTAAACTAGGAACAATGGGGGAGAGACATGAAGAGCTTCTATCCAGTAAGAAAGTCCAACCCAGTGTATTCTATGATTCTATGACAAGTATGGCAAGCATAGTGTGCAGAGTGATGTGGAGAGAAGAGATCTCATAACCAAGTCCAGCAAAGGGCCATGAGGTTCATCAAGACCTGAAGCATCTGTCATATGAGGAGAGTCTGAGAGTTGAGCTTGTTCAGCTTGGAGAAGAAAAAGCTCAGGAGTATCTTCAATGTGATAAATACGTGATGCAGGAGTAGTAAAAAGCATGGAGCCAAACTTTCCCAGGGCACCCAGAGACAGGATGAGGGTGAATGTCATATGTCAGATTTCTGTGTATATAGAAATGGAACTGTCAAGTTAGGCAGAGGTGCAGAAATTAACACAAACTAACATGGTTAGAGTAACATTAAGCAAACCAATTTAAAAAACCAATTTATTATTGAATTCTTACTGTAGCATCTATGAAACATTACAGCTCAGACTAGACTAGAAGACTATTATAAGTAAAACCCACTGCCTGAAGTAATCACGGTTTATCGTATACAAAATTTAGTTCATTAAACAAATTTTAATTTGATGAAAATCATCAGGTTCATCATTGCCTCTACAACAGACCCCATAGGCTAACTCAGAGGAGATAAGAAATGATCACAAGGATACCCCTAGAACAGAAACTGTGGAATACCCAGAGGGAGAACAGTGACATACTTAAGATTTGGTTGTGGATATGGAATTCAAAATTACTCTTGCAGTTCTAGTTGATGACTTCTACATCTGAACATGAACATGACATTGTACTCATCTCCTCTATAATGCTACTCGTTTATTCTCACTTACTGTTTTAAGACGCTGCTTTCATCTTTCTGCATTCTACATTCTGCCTCTCTTTTTTTTTTCTTTAAAAAAAGTGCATTTCTGAATAACTTTTTTTGTCTTTGAACCAAAGGTCAGACTGTCTTTGACCTCTGCATTTTTCACTCAGCTTGTCTTGCAGAATATACCACCTAAGGAGTCCTTCTGCTGTGCCTTTTGCAATCTGACATGTCTATCTCGTATTGGCCTTATTAGCCACCAGCGTGCTTGTAACAAATGTGGATAGAGCCCTTCCCAAATCTTTGTTCATGAAGCCCAGCCATGATGATGATGACTTTTCCCTGCATAGATCACAAAGTTGTTACTTCGAAACCCTTTTTTCTTGACATGAATTTTAGGCTGACCTGTTTTCAGATGCTATGTTTTTTGCTAAATTCTCCTAAAAACCACAGTGTAATAATGTACTAAATGAACAGACTATTATATTTATTATATCAGATGGCTTTCATTCTTCACATTGTACAAATGGGATGACTTATGTTGGTAAGGATTATTCACAGCTTTCCAGAATTTAACACTTATATTATGAACCATTTACCATTACAGTCTCTCTTCACTTCCTATTTTCCAAAACTTTTACCCTTCTGACGAAAAGTTTCAGCATCTCTGTCTTTCTAGAAGGTTACTTCATTTTTTAAGAAAATTTAAGCACAATCTCCTTTGTTGTTTTTTAAGTTGCTTCATATGGCCTGTTGTTCTTTTAGCTTAACATGGTGTCCTGGGTTACACAAATACTCTGGTATCCACCTTTTCTTTTCTCCCAGTATGCCTACTAATTTAGACCGTGGGGAGAGACTTAAGATAAGGATGGTACTCTATGGGCTTGGTACTATTTCCTTGTCTTACAAAAATGACTCATCTGTGGTAACTCCCCTTGGACAATTTACTCACATAGCCTGAAGATATTCATCTCTGCTGATGGCCATAATGGATCCACCTGTGTCAAGGACTCTTGAAATGTCCAATATTAATCATTCAGTGAAGAACTCCTCGCCCCAGGGGAGGTGTCAGAGACATTCCCATCTACCCTGGGAATGCCCAATACTTTTCCTTTTAAACAAGCACACACAGAAACAACTATGCCTGTTTTCCATGGTAGACATGGAGCAGAGAAAGGAAGTCTTCACACATAGGACCTGCATCTTTTATTGAAACAGTGAGGAATTCTGCTTCTGAGCATGCTTGTTAGTCATCTTAACACACCCATAGTAAAGTTTGGTGGAATGCTATCACCTTTTTACTCCTTACCGACAGTCTGATGAAGCAGTTATTCATAAGAAGACCCATTTGCTCAAAATGTTTTTCTGAGACTTTTAACATCTAATTAAATATATATACATCCTTGAAATATTCAGAATACATCCACTCTGCCAAAAGACCAGAGTGTGAGATACTACAAGTATTGAAAGACATTAGCCCTGGAATTCTAAATTTCTGTCACTGATAGTCACTTAGGAGCCTTTAGGTACGATTTGTTATTGTCGAAACAGCGACAGGCTGATGTGGTGATTGATGAACGATAACAATTACTATATCCATGTGATACCATACATATGACAGCTAGTTCAAGAGTGCATAAAAAGAAAGTTCTAAACCAAAAAGAATAATAAAAAAAGAAAGTATAGTTACTGGTTTTAGAGGTTTTAGATGTTCTTCAACAAATTTAACTTAAATAGTGTTACCAAAATTCAAACTCTAATGAAAGAAAGGGAAATTACATTTCCAATATTTTCTATGAAAAACTATTGTCTGTTGATTTCCCAGCACTTCTTTTAAGCAATAGGAAATTTAATCTGATTTTATTTGCGTTTCTATGTGTTCAAAGAAAAAAGTGAAGGTTTCTGGGAAAAAAAGATCATAATTCACATCTGCTGTCTTGCAGTAAGCAGACTTGGTAATCTGAGCTCCTACAAGAAGGGTCAACATATTTTCATTTTTTTTACTTGGAACTTTGGCTATCTGAAGTCATAAGATTTTAAGTTTTGTCTAGGCATCATATTGCCTGATGACATATAGTCCTATAGCTAAAATTCATAGGAACTGGCCAGAATACTAAAGATATGTTTTAAAGGTACTTTGTCATCCATCTTCTTTAGATACATTTGAAAATCTTAGTTACGTGTAATGACTTTGAACTGAAGCATAAGTCAAGTTTCTGACAGTGATTTTTTAAAAATAGAAATAATTACAAATAATTTAGTGTAACAACTGGGAAACAAAACAAACAAAATAAATAATAATAAAAAAAGAAAACAAGAAAGAAGGAGGTGTAACTTTTTTTCAGGTTAAAAAAGTCAAAATAATTTTTGAAACTATTCTACAAAATAACAATGAGAAATATCTACAAGAAATTTTTCAGGTGGTATAGCCATTTCAGTTTCTTTTCCTTATCAAATATATTTTTTCAATAAAAAGCCCTCAAGCAATGCTTTGAAATGCACTTTATTTTTTCTCTTTAATAACAGAGTTCTAAAATGCCTCCATTTAACTTTTCCTTTTCCCACCTTCTTTTCCAGCTGGGTCAACTGTTGCTGTGTGGCATGGTCTACAGAGAACTGATGGCACATTTCTTATGCCTGAAGCCTGTCAAAGCAGAGCGAGAACTTCAGCCATAGCCTCACACCAGGCAGTCCCAGTAGCAGTAGGGGCGCTGAAACTGCCAAGGATATTAAATGCTCAGAAGCTGTGATTGGCATTTTGAAGGAGCACAGTTTCAAAAATACTGAAAAGTACTTGCAAAAGTGTCCTAATCACTTTTAAGCTTAAGTCTCATCTAAACAATTTTTACTACTTTTTGAAAAGAAAAATTTCTTATATTAGTGTCTTAGTAAGATTTCCTAAAAGGTCCCATTCCAGCACATGCATAGTTATATTTAACTTCCTGAATACTTGGTTAATCTTAATTCATATTGACACTGACTCTTGCATGTCAAGCCTTAATGTTTTCAGGATCCAGAGCTCCTTTTGGAATTTGTAGAATAAGTATAAATGAAAGAAGAAGGAGAAGGATGAAAATTACAGTACTAACTTGCTTAAAGGTATTTAGTCCAACATGAACATTTTTATCTTGTCACAGTTTCCAATATTTCATTTTTGTTTACATCTTCAATCAAAGCTTAAATCAAAATATCAGACTAGTCTTATCTGTACTGATTTGTTTTGAAATGTTTCACTTAGATATTTCGTGGTTGAAAATAAAAATTACAAAATTAAAAACATCCTGCATTCCTCATACAAAAATATTTCTCTGAGGTAGACCTCATTAGACATCAGAGTAGTTAATGGCTTGGTGTTGCAGATTTTATAACAGTCACATCATATTTAGTCACTTAACCAGGAATGTGAAATTTATGATTTCTTTGTAAGAGGCAAAGAAATCAGATAGATAATAACTATGGGCATGATAGAAGAGAAAGAAAATACCTTCAAATAAATCATTATTATTTTTCAGACAATAGCATAGTTTGGAGAGAGGAGGGCTTTACATTTGTAAGGGAACCAATAAATCAGAGTGATTCCTCTGGTATACTAGTTTTTTACTCATTCTTTACTAGCTACCCACAATCCAAACTTTTACTAAGGACACATCTGACCCCCTGACACATGTTCAAACAAAGAGGAAAATGCCTATATTGTCAAAACAACTGAAAGAGTCTTCTTCAGGCTGAGAAGCATTACAGTTCTACAGTTTGTAGAACATGTATTTAATTGAAAACACAGAACATGGCTGTTAGACTGAGTCTTAATGGACAAGAATATTGGCAAGCTGCTCTTGGTGTTGGTGTAAAACAATTACTTGTGGTACAGGCTGACTTCAAAGGGAAATCACCTCATTAAGACAAGTGTTGGAAATGCATCTCCCTAGGTGCTAGCGGTGTTTCATTCCTTCCAGTTACTAAGTCAGCCAGTTTGTTTGCTCACAGAGTTCATATTGTCTCTGCAAGGGAAACAATAGATTTTTAAAAGAAATCTTAAAAATATAAAGGCAAACCCTTATATAAAAACTGAAAATGTGAGTACTTAGGAATTTTATTGACCTGCACCAGCAGGTTAAGAGTAAGAGAAATCTCTTATTGTATATTTATTTTTGTTAAAGGAATTACACAAACAAAACTATCAAAACAATGAGAATAATTAATTTTCTTCCCAGTTATTCCATCGTGTCATAATTCTATTAAAATATTTATGTTCCAACTTGTTAAGAATTTTCTTTTTACAACATTTCTGTGTTATAGTTTATGCTTTGACTTTGCTCATTCTGCATATTACAGAGGGCCACCAGCTAGGTTTCAAAGTACTTCTTTCCAGCCACTTAAACTGAGATGACTAATACCATCTGACCTGCAGTCTGCCATGAACAGACTATGCTTCACTAGCTCCATCACAGCAAAGAAACTCCAACAAGATATCTGGTTCTCATTGCTGTGGTTTATGATACATTAGAAAAGCTCTATTTCTTAACAGGATATTCCTTGGATCCTTTCCTAGAAGTCAGGGGATTAGATGCAAACCAGCTTCCAACCTTTCAGCCTTTCCAAAGCTGTAGTTAGAGCTGTCAGAGGAAGCAATCAATCACCCAAGCTGAAACTGAGAGGATGCATCTTCACAGCTGTGGAATCATCCTGTCTCTTCGCATAGGAATAGTTGCAGACTAAGTATGCAAATGGCAGAGTTGCATTTTCTTTAGTTTGAAAAAGTATGACTTACTTCCCCTCTTCCTGGCTGAGTTATTCCCTGTCATGTAAGCTGGTGCCTGTCAAACAAGGAATTCCCCATCAAGTACTCACTCCATTAAAACTGCTATCGGATGAAGACAATTGGGAATGCTATCAAAGGAGATGTCACTGCAGCAGTTCCTTGTTCAGACAATAATGGTGTTTCTATATTATAGCAAGACTAATGAGAAACAACAAAACTTCAAAGACACCAAGTAAATTAGGACTTCTACCACATGGCAACACAGGCAACTGATGCTGTGAAATCAGTCCCCCTACTGTCTGGACAAATTGCTTTTGTTTTATTGGATATATGTAAATGTGTTCCTATGACTATTTTGGAATGGTTTCGATACATCATACACTTTAATAAAATTGGTGAAATTACATTAAATAGTATTAGTATAGCATAGTATAGTATAATATAGTACAGTATAATACAGTATAATACAATTAGAGCATTATAATATTGTATCATGAAAGTGATGGTTAAAAGAAGTTATTTAATATAAATGAACAAGTGTTCATTTTTAAAATTCAGAAAACAAGAAAATAAAGCTAGTAAAATTAATAAGGAATTATTTGCATGATATTGGAAGAGTAGCTTTTTTAGAACTGCTTTCATTAAGATGAGAGTCTCACCTCCCCTTTGTTATCATAGTCTCCCACACTGAAGAAACCATTAGTATGTTCTTTCATTAGTATGAAGATTTTTTCCTTATTATTTGTAAGAATTTGGCTTCCATTGTACAGCTGCAAGAGAGACAGCAGTACTAAATTAAAGGCAATTGTTCAGAAAAACTGAGTCTTGTAAAGGTAAAGATATCTAATCTACTTGTACCTGCATGTAAATGCTTCATTAGAGCAGAAATTTGACTACTTTGTGACCAGCTGGAAAACAATATCTGATGCTGTGAACGTAATAGTGGGATGAATCTCATCCACCTTATACAGCTATGGGAACATCCACACTAGTATTGTAGTTCAGATCATTAGTGCTCATTTGAAGCAAATCTCCCAGTTATCCAGAATTTACTAAGCATGAGTTCATATCAGAGCAGACTCAAAGCACACAAATGGACTTCTTAAACTAAGGCCAAGGATTATTCCAGGAATGCACCTAACACACTACACCTGCTAATGGTAGACCTGCTAATGTACATTCCTGGCAACGAGACTAGGACCCAGCCAAGTAAAATCTCCCAAACAGACACAAAGCACATATCAGTACCTCAGCATCCACACACACATTTGTGCTTCACTCCACAAATGTTCTCCTACTGTACCACACTACGCTCTATCATACTACAGTATAGCTATATGACATACCCTTACATCTGTTGAATTATCTTCATAGGCAGTGGAAAGAAAAAAAGAACAGTTTTAGGCTGAAATTCAGGGGAACTATTTCATATGTGTACCTGTAGGGGAAGGAGAGGGGAGTTGCTCTAAAAAGGACATCTGGACAATAGCATGTGGTTTTATAAATCCGTCTTTGGGGTTTCCAATGGGACACAGTATGGCCATCAATTAAACTGCCATCTCTGACAGTTTGTCTGCACTAACTTATAGGGTGTTGCACAGGAATTTGTGGCAGCCCAAGGAGCAGAATTTAATTCTGATAGAGTCCACCTTTCAGACCCCAAATTTTTGAGAAATATTCCTTCAGATTCAATTACACTTATTCACTTATTATTCACTTACAATTATTCTTTGTCATTAAACAAAGAATAGTTGTATTTTGTTAAGTACTTTTAGATCCTTTAATTCAGAGTATTTTTAGTTATTGGTGGGAAGAGAATGTTTAGCAGAAGCATTTTTGTCAGAGGAAAAATTGATAAAGGAGACCTGTACTATTCTGTTCTCATTTCATATTTCATACTGGACATTTAAAAGCATTATACTTCCACTGTAGTAATTGTCTTCCCATATTTAACTAAGAATTAATTATTTTTAAAATAGACTACAGTAGGAATGAACTATCATGTGAATTTCAAAAAGCAGGAATGTGCAGAAGTTAGGGAACCACTTCCTAAACATTGCCATGCATGCAAATGTTTTGTTTCTACTGACAATGACATCTCCTAGAAAGCTTCATTCTGTTTCCAACAGATAAGGATGTGCATTATATACCACATTCATCTCCCTAACTGTATAAAGCTAAACCTTAATTAACTTTTTAGCACAGTTGCCAAAGATTCAGAATTGATAGGCATGAACAGTTGAAGCTCATAAAGATATGCAGGGGAAAAGTCAAATAAAAATAAAATATAATAAAATAGATTAAAGATTGTAATAACTTTAATGAAAACATGTTGAATTCCCTCTATTCTTTTTGTCAATGATGATGAAAATAGAGTGTTGATGCCAATGTAATTCTAAGAGAGAATCATGGTTGTACCTGTGTAAACAATAGTTTACTAATGGTGTATTCTGAAATAACGTAGTTCTATAGGTATAGAGAAAACAGCTGGGTGACACTTAAGAAACAGTATGTAAATATTTCATTCAGCTAATCCCTGTGAAAACAAAATGGAAATAATTTTGCACTTTTTACCATCCTAAGTTATATTAAAAGTCAATGTTGCACCTAAATATGAATGTGACTCACCAAGACATTCTCCACATGAATCCCAGACAATTACGGAACTAAGTATTCATGATGAGTTTAAGAACACAGATAGCTTCACATGAGGTAAAGGAAATAATCTACTAAAATTCATCATTCTTGAAATATAAAAATGATATGTTCATCTGAAGATTATTAATGAAAGTATCTGAATATTTTAGAGAGTGAGATTGTAATTAGAGATACTGAATATGTTATATGGGTAGCATATTTGAACTGCATATGAAAGTAGTACTTTGTACATGCAATTTACACATATTATACATAGTCAGTGTCTCCAAATATAAATGTTTAACTAAGTAAATTGATCTTTTTTCAGTCTTTAACTATTCCTTTTTATAAAAATATATGAACTGGTGAAAGATTTTATCATTACATAAGTCACTGTCTGAAAAACTCAAAAGTATTCAGTGAACTCCATAATTAGTTCATTGACAAAACTGAGCACCAGAAAAAAATTTAAACCTTGGGGCATAGTTAAAATTTGTAATCAATCAATTTATTTTTTTTTCTATTTTGAGCCTTTTTTGGAACTGATGAATAGCATAATTTCTGCTTCTCCTGGGTTAATTATTGTAGAATTATAGGTTTTTATTCCATAATGAGTCTGTCTAACCTCCAGTAACCTTGTTGACTGAGATCTTGGTGTCTGAATCAGCTTTACTCTTACATTTCTCAGCAATGAGACAACTGGAGCACTCCCAGTTGGACACATCATGCTGCAGGACACTATGATCTTGTATCTGTGAGCAGCAAGATCAGGCTGCTCCTGGAGCTGGCAACAAGGCAGGGACAGTGACTACTCTGACTGGGGCACGGTGCCCAAGCCAAGACCAGGGTGGTGAAAACCCACCAGCTGCC